TCCGACCTTTAATTCAAATTTGACACTGACACATCAATGACTGGATGATTGACACATTAGCATTATGTACACCATTATGTAGATGGTGATGTACTTCTAGCATTATCCTTTTCTATATTCAAAGTTGAATATTTTTCATACTGTGCGGAGATATCAGAACTCCAAGGTAATTTCACATTGTGTGTTCATATCTAAATAGAGTTGAGTTTACAGAGCACCATATTCAGCATCTAAATAGGGATAAAATCGAAGAGATTTTTAGCTACGCAGTCTGGCAAATTGAGGGCAATATGAAATTTCATTTCTAGTTCCTGTACTTGTTATTAACTTATTATCGCCGTGGTTTGATGTGTTCGAGTAGATATGCATTCCTGGCTGGGGGCACAGGTCATACTCTCCTATTACAAGTTAAATGGGGTAAAGTAACTTGAATGTGCACGATCATAGTTCATTCTTTTAAAATCTGACATTTTGGAGAAATATAATTAGTAATGCGTACTAATTATATTGTATGAAAGTTTTTAAAGGTTTGTGTGTGGTGAATCCAGGAATTGGAATGAGCTAGGACGGTTGTTGACCGTTGATCATTTACCATCTCCACCTACAGGTCGTGCCTTTTGAACCCACATCTCCACCCCTCATAGTCTCAATGTTATACTAATACTAGATTTAACCAAAGAAACCTGCATCAAGCTAAGTCTCAAGAATGACAAGTGAAAACCAAATAATATATAACCCAAATCACTAAAATGGATCCATCTGATGGGCAGCGAAAAATCACCCAAGATGCCGAGACATGGTCAATCAAAACTATTACTGTCGCCAATGAGCTCAACTCATCGCTAGAAACATACTGCCCAAAGCCCACTTCGGAGATCAACTTCTCCTAAAATTCTTAATTGTAACCAATATTTTAGCTATGGTAGCTTCTGGCAAAAAGAAACCTTTTTTCATTCCCCTTTTCAATTTAAAACAAATTCCTTTTTCGAGAAAGCGCTTTCAAAGGGAATAAATGGGCAAGAATTTACATTCAATAAAGCCTGAAACTGGGTCAAGAAAGCATTGATGTGGTCCCTATAAATGTAACCCACCGACGACTCGAACAAGCAAAAGTCCAGCCAAGATTGTGCCTTTAACAGCAATGTCACCACCAGGGATGTCCCCATCAGTATTGTCATCATTGCTAGTGATGGCAAAGGGGTGGGTTCGGGGTGCCGTTTGTTAGTTTTTTTTTTTTTTCCAGTTAAAATTCAAATTCAAAATTTTAAAATCCAAAACAAATAGAGCTTAAACTAACTACATCAATATCCAAAACAATTTTTTTTTATTCTTCACGTGGCGGGGACTCCCCAAAACCCGAGATGGGGTGGCGATCCCCGCCCCGCCAACCCATCGGGACGTTTTTTTTTGCCATGACTTATACACATCCCAACGGGACGGATTTTTTTACCATTACTATGTATAGGTCATACACAAACAAATTATTATTCAACAATTACGCCAAATGTCCAAGAATATTTATTTCAAAATCAAATGACNATTTATAAATTTTAAAGAAACTTTAAATGACTAAATGGTCTAACTCAAAGAAATATAAAAAAAAATTTAATGGAAATTACACAAAACTAGAACTTTAAAATTCAATTTCAAAAATCAAATTGAAGGTATCACTTTTCAAGGCATCGATGCGGGAGCACTATTGTGAGTCGCATGATGGCACAGAGTGAGTCGTCTCCGCCATGTAGATCTGTTCTTTTTTAAAAAAATTTGGAGTGGTATGGTGATTGTGGAGTTGTCCGGTGCGGTGGGGTGGGTGGTGGGAAACGGAGATCTCCGGTGGGTGCGACTGTGGTGCTATAGGTGCTTCTTCTTCCCTTTGTTTAAAAATTTTTTGAGAGGTGTAGTGATTGGGGAGGTGTGTAGTGTGGTGGTGGGAACGAAGATCTTTGGTGGGTGCGGCGGAGATGCGCAATTGTGGTGCGGTGGTTGTAGATGGGTGGTGGTAGTCATGGTGATGTCGATATTTTTAGGTGATGGTTTGCTGTTGGGAGGTGGTGGTTCCAGCGACGGGGTTTCGATTGCCATATTGTTGGTGGCAGTGGTGAGATGGTAATCACACGATTGTTGGTGATGGTCGCAGATTATTTGGTTGTTTGTGACCATTAAATTGCCATGCTGTTGGTGGCAGTGGTGAGATGGTAGTCACAAGTGTTGGTGATGGTCACAGATTATTTGATTGTTTGTAACCATTAAATTGATTAATCTGTGATCGATAAACAATATTTGACCAATTAAAAAAGATAAATTGTGACAAAAAAATAATGCGACCTAAAAAATTGTTAATTTGAAATCGATAATTTCATAATTTGTGACTTATAAATTAATTGTGATGTTTCAATTTTTGTTTTGTGATCGATGAACAAATTGTGACTTATAATTTTTTTGAATTGTGACGTTAAAATAATTTGTGATTTATAAAATTTGTGATTTGTGACCAATCAATAATACGTGACTTATTAATTTTATAAATTTGTGACCGATGAAAAAAATTTTGATCTATAAAATTTTCTAATTGTAATTGCTATTAAAAAAAATTTATTGTAACCGAGAAATAATTTGTGATCAAATTATATAAAATTGTGACATTAATATATTTAATTAATAAAATATATGTCTAATTTATTTATTTATAAATAAAATTTGAAATTTTAAACCTTAGGTTCTTAAATCTTAAATTTGAAATGGGCGGAGTTTAACCTCTTATTTATGAATTTTTTTTCCAAACTTTTATTAGGCTATTGAATTTTTTTTTAGGCCCTTCAAATCTTGAGGCCCAAAACAATGGCCTAGTTTGCCTTGGGCCAGGGCCGGGCCTGATTGCCAACCAAGATGGAGGCTATGGTGATTGTGGTGGTGGTGTGAAGAGAGCATTGATCCGATCCGGCACCTTGAGCACACACAGCCACCGCTCAAGCTTCCGTCCGTTATATTTTTTGCAACTGAGTTAGCATGGGCAATCGGCCTGGCTCACCCGGTACTGGCTCCACAGCTATCGTGGTGGTCGTGTCTTTGCCATGTAATGCAACCTACCAAACCATTATGTCTATTACCGATGCAAAAAATTCAAAATATATCTTGCCATGCTATGTCCGCTAAGGCGCGTTACATTTCTGAGGCACATGATTATGCAATTTCATGACTCTCTATTTATGGTACAACTATGAGCCACATCACACATTGTATCGTCCGGTAGACTCTTATCTCATCCTTTCCACCCCACACACATTATCTGACTTGATACCACACTACATCACGTTGCAGTGACGTTGCATTTCAGGAAATTGCCTTCTTTCAGTTCCCCAGTCAAAAATACATATTTATTGGTTACCATCTTTTTTCTAGCTTTGATTCGTGATTGAAAATAAAATTTGACCATTTATAAATAATTTATGAATTTGTCGAAATAGAGACTAATTTTTAATATATAAATTTCAAAAAAGAGAAAATCCTCGATTTTAGAAGAAAAGGATCATATTCCTAAATATATACTCGTATCCGAATTTAAGTATCCCATTAATCCCTTATTTAGTAGAGATTAAGCTCAAATTTTTAGTAGATTTTAATAAAAATGTGTTGAAAAATTGTGAATTTATTGATTTTGATCGGAGATTTTAATTGAATTTTAATCCACAAAGTGGTTGATACGTCATATTCGTCATCACTGAACAGTGATTTTGAAGGAACTTGATCTACATTTTTTAATTTCCATTCAACAACATTTTAAGTCGATCCACACGTGTATTGATGACAATACTAAAAACAACTACTTTTCACTAGACGACATTATCTAAAATATCATAAAATATAGTTGACTTCTGCAATTGCCTTGTAATAAAATTAATATTTTTTTTAAATTAAGAGAAACAGGAGAAATAGGTAGATATATTAAACATGAGAACTTAACAGGGAGAAACATATCTAGGAAATATTTTATGGAGATTATTCAAACATGCAAAACTTGGAATTTGCAATTGTGATGCCTCCATCAACAAAAAGGTTGTGTCCAGTCACAAACTTTGACTCATCGCTTGCCAAGAACAGAACAGCTTCAGCCACATCCTCTGGGTTAAGATAAACACCTTTAAGGATGGAATATATGCTACGGCATCCCTCATCATCCATTTTGTAGAATTCCTTTGATTGACGTGTAGGAACTACGTGTGGTGACACGCAGTTTACGCGAATGCCATACTTTCCAAGCTCCACAGCCATGTTCTTCGTGAGTCCTACCACCCCATGTTTTGAACTTACATAATTGTGTGAAGAGCCACCGCCTATCTTCGAACAAGTACTCGCTGTTGTGATAATATTCCCACTGCGATTTGGGATCATTACTCGAGCAGCGTGTTTAGCACCCAAGAATGCACCTACGAGGTTCACATTAATAATCTTTTCGAACTCTGATTTTTCGATTTCAAGAATGCTTGGATTTGCTTTCCCTCCTATACCAGCATTATTGTGCAGTATATCTAATTTCCCGAATTTGGCAACTGCTGTGTTAACTGCTGTTTCTACATCGGATTCATTAGTTATATCACAGTGGACAAAAGAGGCTGATGATGGTCCCAATTCCTTGCATACCTTCTCTCCCAATTCATCATTGATGTCAGCAATCATAACTTTAGCACCATGTTTGGTGAATAGTCTTGCGGTTGACTCGCCAATTCCATTAGCAGCACCGGTGATTAGTGCAACCTTGCCTTGGAGCCTAGGTTCATATATTTTGTTAGTACAATATTCATAACATGCCCTTGTACTTTGAGAAAAATGCCTCGAGAATTCGATAATAGTAAAAAAATATATATATATATTATTTAATCAGAATGCAGTATGATGAACAATTAAAGAGTTATACCTTCTAACAAAAGTCGACGCCATTGATGAACTCAACACGATGAACTTGTTTGCTGTGAATGTGAATTGATAATTCTCCGCAATTTTAAACGGATATTTATAGTGCAAGAACTGCTAAAGACAGAAACCAATCATATATGTGCACGCAAGTAGGCATTAATTATATCTAAATCCGTTTTCCAGCTCAAAGTGATGTGTTTCCACGTCGTTCTTTGTAATTTTCTTATCACTTGGTTTTGTCTTGTAGTTCGATATCGGGCAATGTCCCTATCATTGCCAACTTGCATGTCAAAATGACTACAATCTAATGCAATACAGCTAGTGTGTAAGAGGACCATAAGCACTTGAGTTTTTTACTTTTTATAGTTAAAAAAAATTTTGAAGGATCGAGGCATGAATTCTCGTTATATAATTGAAATCTCAGTATACGGCTAGCATATAAGAGTACAATAACCACTTGGACCCAACCCGATTATACTATTACCCGTCACAACCATACTCAATTACCCATTAGTCATCAAAATTGTGAATACAAAGCTTTCAAAAATTGGCTAAGGCACTGAACGATTGCTGTTGAAACATATTTGTTAGTAGCCCTAATTAAATTTAGATTTTAATTCAAAATCACGTCAGTTCTTTTTCTTCTATAATAGTTTTCTCGAATTTCAACTAAATTTTCAATTTCGTTTACCCAATTTTTTTATTTTATCGCACGAGCTAGTCTAAAGGTAGCGTTAGAGTGGCTTGCTTCTAGAAGATTCTATAGTGAACCACCGGAATCGGGCTCGGGTGATGCCTCTTTGCTCCGAGAATTCCTCCCTTTGTCGTTAACGTGGAGGATAAAACTATGCCAGCTCCAGAGCTCATCCACTCAATAATAGCCCTAACTCAAGAATTCAATTTAGAGTTGCGTTCTCTTAAGAAAAACGAGTTTCTTTACCACTACTAAGATAGCCGATCAATCTGCGTCCAAGCGGAAGAAGACAGTAATAGTATAGGTTAGGGTACTAAAAGAGCCAGTGGTTTAAGGGGAAATAAGAGAAGACTCACTCATAGCCTCTAGAGGCCAATGCAAGATTTGTCCAACCACCAATGAACTTTTCGACTTATTATTTTGGTAAAAATTGAATGAAAATAAGTACAAGATTGTCTCCCAAATTGCTAAATAACCACAATTGCTTTTGAGTATGCACTCCCTACTAGTGGTCGATTCTTGATTCCTTTAGGAGTTTATTGAATGAAAAGATGGTTGCGCCAATTAGTATCGAGGAAGGTGTTAGAACTAAACTATTTTTATCATGTTGTTGCATTGTCATGTTTAGAAATGTAGAACTTTAGATTATAATATTTGTAATAATAGTAATATTTATGTTCTAATACGAAATTTTAGACAAATATTTAGGATTTAATTTGGTTGATATACGTTATTTTTTTGTTTGTTAAATCGTGGTTCTAAACCGAATCAGACAAAAAAAAAAGGGGTTTCGTTTAGTTTGGTTCGAAAAAAATTTCAAACCTCTTCAAATGGTTTAATTTGGAAATTTATCACAAAATCACCAAAATCGAACCGTGTTTATCCTTAGTATGCATGAGAGAGAGAGAGAGAGAGAGAGAGAGAGAGATGATTAGGAAATTGCAGCCAAGGTCTCCATTCATATGCTTGAAGTTTGTTGTAAGTTGGTCTTTACTACAGTTTCCATTCACTTAGCTGTTATGATTTAAGCATAGCTAACAATTGAGAAAGTAAAATAGGTAAAAACGTGATCCATATATAAAAAATATCTCGTCATATCTCTGCAAGTCTACATCAATCCCGACCTCTAGTCGTGACTTGCACGGAGCCCTCTCTATTTTTCCATGTCATGTGTTACAAGGACATAAACCATCTACTTGGGACTAAGATGCAATAAATATCAAAGTTTGGGAACCTCCGTTGCTATTTCCCAAAAAAAAAAAAATTGGTCCGAGTGTCACTATGTTTGTATATAATTTAGAAATACCTCCTTTTTTTTCATTCTTTTCAATCCTGCAAATCAGTGGTCGTTGAAATGACAAATATACACTCCTTCCAACACCAACCCTGTAAATCGAAAAGAAAGCTATTACAATGTGGGTTACTATATATTCCCTCGCTAGGGGTGAAATAGCAAATACCACAATTTATATCGATAAGTAGTCAGTGACTGAGTTAGACATTTTGTATCGAGAGGTCAAATTCACCAATATTTTACTATTCACTCAAAAATAGAAATTTTTATTTTAAAATATTTTTTCATAGTTGTTTGATATGAAACTCAAAAAAATAAATGAATGTTAATCTACTCCAAATATTAATTGAAACCACAAAAATAAAATCAATTTCAAGGCAAGTTACAAAGTCCCTATGTTCTATTTAGCTCACAATAGAAAAAATAAAATAAAATAACTAATTTCATAACAAAAAAAAAAACAAAATCCAACAATGAATTCCTTAAATCCAAAACTACGACGAAGTCGTTGCTTCCTTTGGAAGCGAGATCGAAGTCGAAACTGAAATCAACACAAATGTCTTCAACAAAAATAAAATACATAGTATGAACGTAATTTATATAGCAAAAAGCAGGAACCATTTTTTCTAACAAATGAGTCGGCTAAAATGCTCAAAAGAGCAGCGATCCAATCATATACCTCAATAAAATTACAAGGACCATAAAAAGATTTGTAATCAACATGGTTGTTCGCTAGCATCGGTGCACACCAGCTAAGTAACAAATATAAATTATTTGTCAAACTTGTGTCTTTGAAAAAAGAATGGAATTTGAAGTTTGGGACAAGTTGAGAGTTGCAACTAACGAAAAAAGTGAAAAAAAAGGTTGTTGGGCCAGCTGACCCCACCCCACATCAACCCACCTGCATCTACCTATGATTTGCAATTGGTGCACACAAGTAATCTCCTTTGCAAGAATGAACCGTCCAACTGCTTTCCCCCATCGAGCTGCCGCCGCCGCCCCGGCTCAGAACTAATAAAACAGTTGTATTTTTTCAAATCTTTTGACAATTGCCTTGTAATAAAATCGAAACATGAAAACTTCATAGGGAAAAAGTATCGAGGAAATATTTGAAAACTTGGAATTCATTCGCAATGGTGATGAATAATTAAAGAGATATACCTTCTAACAAAAGTCGAAGCCATCGATGAACTTGCCGCAGTTAACTTCTTTGCTGTATATGAATGTGAATTGGCAACTCTCTGCACCTTTTATAATGGTAATGAAATGATGAATAGGATAAAGACATCTACACGTAAGTAGCCTTTTATATTTATATTTATTTCTGAAAAAAATCTGATTTTCCAGATAATTGTAACCTCTTTCCACGTCATTTCCAGCACTAGTCTGAATTTCCACGTGCTTGTGTCCACAACTATTGAATTACTGAAATAATTTTCACGTGCCTAAATTTTTTATGTTTTGGAAATAGAATTTAATAATTTTCACGTGCCTAAATAATATGGAAGAAAAATCAAATTTTAAAATTCGAACAATTTATATTATTTAATAATTTTATTGTTTAGTTTTTTTTTTTTTTTCTTTCGTTCGTCCATTGTTAGTTGAAAAGAAAACGTACACCACAAATACTCACATACAAAGTCTTGTTCAGAATTTCTCCCAAACAAATTTGAAGTTACTCGACTTTCCCTTGTGAACAACAATTATGGCGTCACCTATGAAGAAGATAAGGATGATTAATGTGGAGTGGACTTTGTTCACTAGTTGGATTTTGAGGACCATCTTTGCCCTTTTTTTTCTAAATTTTAGCTTTGAATTCAACATGATTTACAGTCGTTATTGGGGCCCACATAAGAGATATAAAATTTGAATTTAAATATTAAAATAAATGAATGAAAATAATTTTTGACAATTTATAAATTTGACCAAACAAAGACTACTTTTAATATATAATTAAAAAAAGTTTAAAAGATGTACAAATGTATCATCGTCCAAAATTTGAAATTTGGATCGTCCCATTGGAGGTAAGTCATAATTTAAGTATTTTAAATTATCACATTGATTTAAGAGTACAGTCGAGTTTGATCTCCATTTCGGTGTAGAATGTATTTTTGAATAGTAGATTAATGGAAAATATGCGACAAAAAAATAAAGAAAAATTTTGAGTTTGTGTGTAATATTATTTTATTAAAAAATATGTAGTTAAAAATAATAAAAAGAATAATATATTTTGAAAAAATTGAAGACCAAACAAATGCTACGTCTTTGTTTGAGCAACATTATTTTTTTCATTTCATTCCTCTATTCATTTTCAACCTCACATTTTTTAATAAAATAACATTTTTCATCACATCAATAATTTTTCCTTCTTTTTCAATCACATATTCTACGTCATTTCAAAACAAAAAGAGCATTCTTGGTGCTAAAATGTGTACCAAACGGGAGCGCAGCAATACAGCTGGAGCTGGTACGCAAGAGTACATATAAAAGAGTAATGCAATACAGCTGGAGCTGGTACACAAGAGTACATATATAAGAGCACCAATATGTGATTTAATGCAATACAGCTATTTGATTTTGACGTTTATTTAATTCTTTAAATTGCATTAAAAATTGTTAGTAATAATGACGATGTCAGTGTAATTAACCACTGTACTATATCGATCCTAGTTTGTTTCGTTTTTCACACTGATTAAGAAATCTTCTTTAATGTCATTAAAAAATTAATTTTTATGTAAAACGAAATTATTATTGAAACTAATAAAGAATTAAAAAAAAAAATGAGAGTTGTTCCATGTTTTCAGGAAGTGAAAAACGTTTGTATTTGGATGATTTCAAGAAGTTGACATATTAAGTAGAGAAAATTTAATGAGGGTATATTGGTAAAAGAACACAACAAAATATTTTACATTAGAAAGCATACCTATATATTTGGGATAAGAAAAAAAGAAGCTCAATCTATATAATTAGGACGAAGAGAGTATTAGTAATTACAGTACAGAATGAAACTTGGTGCCTTCTCCCTTTGCCTATAGATGTAAACGAAAGGTCAATAACTCGATAATAAGATGAATAAGTACATATTTCAATTTTTTTTTTTTTTTTATCTCGGATTCTTTAGCATGGATCTCCTTAATGTAATTCTTAAATTTGGAAACGAATACATATTAGGAATAGGATCGTTTTCTTCTAAAATAGAGAATATGAGAATATAGCTAAAAAAGAATCCAATTTTTTTACGATGATAACGTCTTTCAAAATTCATTTTTTTCGAAATTATATATTAAAAATTTAGCCTCTATTTGGCCAAATTTATGAATTACTTATAACGTAGAGGATATGAGAATATGACTAAAAAAATATGTTTCTTCGAGTGATAATAAATTAGACTTTGTACGGATTTACTTTTTCTTGAGTGCAATATTTAAATATTTGGACCAAGTAAAATAATGCAAATGGACCGAGCTACGACTTTAACGTGACTAACAAGACTAAGAAGTGAATCAAATCTATTTCTAAAATGGTCACAAATAACGTCGAAAAAATTAGGTACCTAAAAATTGTCTGAAAAATAAGATTAGTCAGAAATGCGTCGGAGATGACGAGGAAAGAGAAAACATTAGTCAGAAATGCGTTGGAACTGACGAGGAAAGAGAGAACAATTATCCGAAAAATCAGGTTTACTTAGAAATAAAATGCCTACTTGCGTTGGAAATGACGAGGAAAGAGGAGTAACAATTATCTGAAAATGAGATTAGTCAAAAATGAAAATGCCAACTTGCGTTGGAAATGACGAGGAGAGAGATTTTTCATATTAGCTAGAAATAAATGCCTATTTGCGCGTAGATGTCATGTCTTCATCATCGGCACTATAAAAGACGTTAAAAAGCGCAGAAGGTTACTCATTCGCATTTGCATTCACAGCAAAGAAGTTCACCGTGTTAAGTTCGTCCAGTTTACCGTGTTAAGTTCGTCAATGGCTTCACATTTCATTAGAAGGTATGACTCTTTCATTGTTCATACTGCGTTCTGATAATTTCTTGAGGCATTTTCTTTAATATGTTATGAATATTGTCGACTAACGAAATGTATGAATCTAGGCTGGAAGGCAAGGTAGCTCTAATCACTGGTGCTGCTACTGGAATTGGGGAATCAACTGCCAGATTGTTCGCTAAACATGGAGCTAAAGTTCTGGTTGCAGACGTCAATGATGAATTGGGAGAGAAGGTATGCAAGGAATTGGGAAAATCATCATCCTCTTATGTCCACTGTGATGTAACTAAAGAATCCGATATAGAAACTGCAGTTAACACAGCTGTTGCCAAATTTGGGAAATTGGATATACTGCACAATAATGCTGGCATAGGAGGGGTACCAAATCCAAGCATTCTTGAAATCGAAAAAACAGAGTTCGAAAAGATTATTAATGTGAACCTCGTAGGTGCATTCTTGGGTGCTAAACACGCTGCTCGAGTAATGATCCCAAATCGCAGTGGGAACATAATCACTACAGCGAGTACTTGTTCGAAGATAGGTGGTGGTTCTTCACACAATTATGTAAGTTCAAAACATGGGGTGGTAGGACTCACGAAGAACATGGCTGTGGAGCTTGGAAAATATGGCATTCGTGTTAACTGCGTGTCACCACACGTAGTTCCTACACGACAATCAAAGGATTTCTACAAGATGGATGATGAGGAATTCGGTAGTGTATATTCCGTCCTCAAAGGTGTTTATCTTAAGCCAGAGGATGTGGCTGAAGCTGTTCTGTTCTTGGCAAGCGATGAGTCAAAGTGTGTTCATGGACACAATCTTTTTGTTGATGGAGGCATCACAATTGCAAATTCCAAGTTCTCCATGTTTGAGTGATCTCCAGAAAATATTTCCTTCATATGTTTTTTTACTTTGAAAGTTCACATGTTTAATTTCTCTTTAACTTAAATAAATATTGACTTTTTTTTTTACAAGGAAATGGTACAAAGGCAACTATATTTTCTGATGATATTTTAGATAATGTCCTCTAGTGAATGGTAGTTGTTCGAGTATTGTCATTAATACACGTGGATCGTTGTTGAATGGAAATTATGAAATATGTAGATCTAGTTCCTTCGAAATCATTGGCCACTGATGGGCGAATACGGCATATCGACCTCTTTGTGGCTTCCCGCTTTTCGTCGCCACGTTGGTCTTACTCTACGCTTGCAAATTTCTTTACAAGTACTATCTATTGCCTAGACAATACAAAATACAATCACGTGGTGACGACTCAATTGTAAGAGTGAAGAACTACAAAATCAAGATATAGCAATAGACAGATACATTGGAATATATTAAAGTTCTAGTCACAGTTTATATCACGATCTTGCTCCTCTTTTTTGGACTTCTTGTTCTATAGATGAGATGGGCTACCTACGGAAATGTGGGTTTTTTCTAAAGCAAACCTATTTTTATTTTTCACAGAATCACGGTGAACTCAATTGACAAATGATATTTTCTTAATGTACAAGGCACCGCTTTCTTCTTTGCACTCAAGACCTTGGAGGTGCTGCCTAGTTCATGAGCTGTGCGGATTTAATTACTCGGTCTGAAATTTTTATGATAAAATACCTTGTTCCCCCGTTTTTGGGCACAATTGGTCGTGATGTCATACAAAAAGGATATATAACATTTGATTGGAGCTATTGTAAAAGACAGCTTGACCTTTTCTATGTTATACACGTTCCCAATAGAAAGTAAATGTATTATGTTTTTGAGACAGATTAATAGCATAGAACCCTCTAAAAATATTTCCTTTTGCAATTATACCACATATCTATTGAAAATTGCAAAAAAATCCCATATTTCAAACATTTAGTACGAAAAACCCCCTGCCGACAAGATCCGTCAGATTTGTCGTTAAAAACAATAAAAAAATGTCAAAATTAAAAATGATTAATTGTAATTTCAGAACCCCGACTTTTTATATTTTTACAAAGTAAATTCAAATTTTTTATATGCATCATCTACAATTCCAAATCTTTTTAAAAAGATTTATAAACAGTTCAATGGTTCACTACCACCTCTAAACCAGTCCACCTTACAAATCTTCAATGTACCACAATGAATTTAGTGGCGCAATTCCAGTTACACCAACTCTTTCCCGGTTCAAAGCGACGTTTTCGTTGAATGCAACACTTTGTGTCGAGATTATACACAAAGAATGCCGCCCAATACAACACTTTTTTCATTCAAACCTATCTTCGCCCCAGCCAGCCGCCATAGCGCTTTCCCAAACTGCCTAGTTTCACGACGCATTGTCCTAACAAAATAAAGACACCCAAATGAAAGAAAACAGCTTTCGTAATTGGGTTCTCATCTGGGGTTTTCATTTTGCTTATTTCTTCGATTGTTTGATTTTTATGGCGAAGAAACTTCGTCAAGCTCCCAATGACCATGAACACGATGGCCATGAGAAGATGATGTGTGAGAGAGAGATGGGTTTGGATGAAGATCCATGCCAATTTCTCTGGCAAGCTTGGCTAATCTGTATGTGTGTTTTACCAATTCTTGGGTGGGATTAAAAGGCATTAGTGGGATTTTGGTTCTTGATTTGGGGATATTATTGCGATGTGGACCGAAACTTTTGAGGCAATTTTGAGAGGGAATTTGAGATTTCCGACAAGGATTTTTTGGTCCATTTCGCCAGAGGCCAAGGATCTACTAAGGATGATGATTTGCCTAGATTTTTGGGGAAGAAGATTAAGTGGGGTGGCGTGGGGTGTGTTAGGTATTTGATATTATTGGCAAATCTGTAAACAAAATAGACTAAAATTAACAGGTTGTAAAAAGTCAAGGAGTTACGTGTAAATAGTGAAAATTGAAGTATTTTAGATCTAGAGTTCGAGAATGGAAAAGAAGGCAAAATGGCGGCGCAATTTCGCTAGACTGTCACCAGGACTTGGCTCGAGCGTAAAAAACAATAACATTGTCGCTAGCCTGTCACCTTGATTTCGCTTGAGCGACAACTTGTTGTTCACATGTCGCTCATCCCCCCTCGAGCGACAAAGATATCTAGAAATTTTTTAATTTGTTTTTCAAATGCTTTTTGTCCAACCCATCCATTCCTTAACCTAACCTATAAATACCAAACACCACAGAACGGTTTTTTCGAAGGTTGATCATTTAGCAAACACATTGTTTTCATATTCTCTTCTTGAGTTATCTTTCAATCTTCATTATTCATATTGTGATTTGTTTTTTGTGGTGAAAGCATCAAACTTGCAATCCAAATACCAAATTGCTCATTCCTTTATATCTGTCAAAAGTTCTGAAGATCAAGGGAAGGTAACTGGAGTTCCGGTCGTGAAGAACGCGGTGTTCTTCGTTAATCCACAGGAGATAGACGATTTCATAAAGTTGGGAGTTGTTACAGGATAGCGCAATCCAGGAGAGCTTTGGAAACTTCAGCTAGGAGTTGGTGCAAGAGCACGAAATCCAGGAGAGCTATTGAAATTGCAGTCAGGAGGTCAAAAAGTACGTGTCGTCGTAGAGTCTGGCGGACAGTAAGTTTTAAATCGTTTATAGTTGATTGTTGACTGACAAAGTGTCCGGAGCTTTTACTTAATTGGGGTTTCTCCGTGATCATATCTTGTGTTAATTTATTACTTTCATAACTGCGGTATTTCAACATAGGATAAAATTGAATTGTATGTTTAATCATCTAGAGATAATTAATAGTTACTTGTTGCTATTTAATTATTAAGTTCTTTTAATTCCGCGTAATCACCTATTCACCCCCCTCTAAATGTAGTTTGGGTCGACCTTCGTACTTTCAGGGTGGAAATAAGATTTTAAAGATTTAGGATTGTAGATGACGCAAATAAAAATTTGAATTTATTTGTAAAAAATATAAAAAGCGGGGTATTGAAACTGCAATTATTCATTTTTAATTTTGGCATTTTTATTATTTTTAACGGCAAATCTGACGGATCTAACGGCATGAAGGTTTTTTGCACAAAAGATTTGAAATATGGGGGGTTTTCTGCGATTTTCAATTGGTAGGGGATATATCACAAATGAAAACGTTTCTAGAGTTTTTTTAGCTATTAATCCTTTTGGAGACAGAGAGATCATTGAAATTTCTGATGCTAGTGTTGATTCATTCTTCCTTTTTCTTACAATGTTTACTTAGTTCAAATTAGGCTTTTACAAAGTATCTTGAAATTTGGATTTGCAAGTTTATAACTCAACTAGAAAAAATAAATAAATCCTTGTTTGAACTTTGACTTAGCTCTAGCAAATTATCGAAATTCTAAAGTTGATTCTATGATATTAGGTTTCAGATAAAGATTTCAGTTGCTTGAAGCCAATTTGGGAAACTTTGAAGAGAATAATTGGTACACTGGATAGTTCTAACTGTCTTAGAAGACAACTCTAACCATCTCCAAAGAAGAAAAACAATTCTAACTATCTTAGAACTATCTAAGTAGTCGAATTATTAGCATACCATCGAAATGTCACCCAGAATGAATCTTGTCTTAGCGGCTTTCAAGATTTGCCTCAAAAGTTGTGCACATATCATGTAATGATTGGATTTTATGAAAAATTATAACATTAGGGGTATTTTCAGTAGTTTTCATTTAAAAGTAGTTATTTTGCTAATTTTCACAAGAAGTGCTCATTTACACTAGACAGTTCTAATTGTCTTAGAAGAGAGCTCTAACCATCTCCAAAAAAGAAAAAACAGTTCTAACTATCTTGGAACTATCTTAAGAAGTCGAATTATCAGCTTACCATCGAAATGTCACCTTGTCTTAGCGGCTTTCAAGATTTGCCTCAAAAGTTGTGCACTTAGGCGTATCGGGAGTTTTCATCTAATAGAGTTATTTTGCTAATTTTCACAAGAAGTACTCATTTACTAAAAAGGACATCGTGCAATGTAATTTAGTGGTATATTCCTTGAAAAATTCTCAGTAATTTAAATTTTTCGATTCTCAACGTGTCTTTTAGTTTAGTAATGTCCAACACATTTGTCATTTGTTGCGTGCAGGATATTGTGGACAAGTTATCAAGATTAAATAGAGTGTTGATTCCATGAGAACTTATATTTAGTTATGAATCTAATTAAATTTAGTCTTCATACGAAATTTTAAATGAATTTTGATTTTAACTAAAAATTACTCAAAGTTAAGCTAAAAATACCTTGAGAACTTTGGAGAAGTTTCAAATATAACTTTGATTTCACCTATAATTATCTACTTTGATTCAAACAATCACATAATTGACAATACTCGTTTATGTTTAAGACGATATCCCTAAATTATTTAATAATTTATCTCAAAAAAAAAAAAAATTAGGGATACACACACACACACACACTTGATTTATGAGTTGAATGTTATTCGACCAGTATTGGTTCATATACAATTATCAACGATATTGGTTGAATGTCCTAAAATTATCTAAGTCATTTTGTTATTCATTTATCATAATTTTTATTCAATTTTTCATGTCATGTATTTACTTTTCCTTTCTTTTTGAAAAAATTTAATTGGGACGACTATAATGATATATCTTGTATTTAAAAATCAATATTATTACATAGAAGATTTGGTGCTTTTAAATTTTTTCCAATGACGACGTACCTCGCTACAATTTTTTCTAATTAAAATTAAGGACATATTGATCGTTTCTTATTAAAAAATTATCAATTGCGCACCAAGACACATAATTCAGAGATTTTCAAGCCAAGAAATAAACATTAAGGACCATTTGCACACTGAAAGCTAATATTGGGACCATTTGTGCCAAATTCCCTAATAAAAATGTTTAGGGTGATTTTCTAAGAACACATGTTTCGAGAATTTTAAGATAGTAATAAAAACTTTTCATCATTAACGTGTCACAAGAACCTTATCTATGATTCTTTGTAATAGTCATATATTTAAAGAATCATACTTACGATTCTTTCTGTCACATTAACGGTATGAAATTTTTATCCTGTCCATGGAAGCAAGTGACGAACTCTATTTAAGATAGAATTCAGTCAGTCAGAAATCCCTCTCCCTCTCTCTCTCTCTCTCTCTCTGCGTGGCCATTAAGCAATGGCCACTTTTCTGCAACTCTCTTCTCACACTTGAACATTAAGCTTATTTTTTCTTCAATTTTGGCCCATAATGGAAAATTATGCAGGTTTGACGCCTCAATTTCCAGTTCCAAGTCCAGTTTCAATAGGTTCAGGGTCAGAGCAGTGAAGGAAAAAAACAGAGCAAATCAAGATTAAGTCTTTTGCGGAGGAAATTACACAGAAGTATGATTTGAAGCTGGTCTTTGGAAGGTAATATTTTGAACCATCCTTTTTCTTTACAGTGCTCTCTTGATTATACTCCTTTTATGGGTTTCAACCATCAGAATTCATCCAATCCAAAAAGATTTCAACACTGTCGTCGACATAAATAAGTGTCTTTTTATCTAGTAACTTTTCGACGAGTAATTCAACATAGCCGTATAAAAAAGAATAGTTCTCGAGACCAAGTTTAGTCGCTACCCATTTAATGAAAATTGTACCTGTAGGATTATATTCTATTTCAAGATTTAAGTTTTTAGATGAGACGTGATGGTGTACTATCTTTGTACACCTAACATAATTCTTTTTTTCTGAGCAATATGCAGATATTCTCCTCAAAAGGGGAAGGTGATGGGAAAAACCAAGAAAATAAGTCAAAGGGAGACCAAGCTAAGGAGCTTCAAGCAAAATATGGAGGAGCATATTTAGCCACTTCCATTACTCTCTCCTTGATATCTTTTGGGCTATGTTGTGCTCTAATTTCAGCTGGGGTAGATGTACAAACTTTGCTTCAACAGGTATTACCTTACTTGTTGCTTTTCTAACATAATCTTAATGCAAGAATACAGTCTAGTGGACCTCAATGGCATAGTTTTTGTGAATTACAGATTGGGATTTCTACTAATGAAACTGGAGAAAAAGTTGGGACTTTTGCATTGGCCTATGCTGCCCACAAAGCTGCTTCTCCAATTAGATTTCCTCCTACTGTAGCTCTTACACCTATTGTTGCTGGTTGGATTGGAATGAAAGTTGATGAAGAGAATTGATAATGTAAGAAATTTTGAATTACTTGATCGTGTAATGTCACAATTTTGTTGCCAAAGCAGCTTTAAAGGATCGATCTTTTGTTTATTTTCTTGAAAAGTTGCCATGAATCATGTGTTGCCGAATGGACTGTGCTACAAATAGTCGAACAGCCTATGCTTATTTTCCATATATTGTCAACTTTTCTTGTCTAGGAAAAGTTCACGAGAACCCTTTAGCTCCGCCCAGCACAAAGCCATTAGACTTTCCCCTAGGCCATTAGAAGTAATCTTAGGCACATTTGAAAAGTTAAAAACTGCTTCTAAGACAAAGAACTTGTTTTTGGATCTGTTTGAATAAAACGGAATTTGTAACCTACATCTATCACATTCTTATCTCGATTTAAAACAAACAACGGAGTGCAATTAAGTTAGGATCAATCACATATTGAAGATCAAACCTAATCTTTTGTAATATAATTGTTATCGTATGCTAATTATTTTAAAATTTAAATTATTTAATTTATTTTTTTCTTGAGTCCAATCTATGTTATTTGATGTAAACTACAAATGAGCTCAATATTGATTTACGTTTTTTTTTTCCTTTTCTACAATACTTAAATATTTAGATCAAACAAAATAAAGTGAATGAATTGTGCTATCATGCTATGGACTTTAATGTTACCTACAAGGCTATGAAGTGAATCGATTCTATTTTCTACTAATCATGTTACATATACAATTTAATTTGACAATTTTGTCTGACAATTCACACTTGACAATATCACAATCATCCATTTCAAAAGAGTAATACTACTTGTAGTCGCTCACTGCAGCAGTCGCCCTATGTGGCACATACATGACATGTAGTTAATTGATACTTTAATGTGGTAGTTTTTTACGACATTTAATGCATCAAATACACACTTGACATATGTATGCCACATAGGGGCAAGTAGCATTATTCATTTCAAAAACTATTTTTTTAATCAAGTGTTCGAATTTTGACATCATTAATATCGTCAACCATTATTGTCTATTCTGTAAAATGGGATGAGTTAGAAATAAATGCCTGCTTGCGTTGGAAATGAGGATGGAAGAGATAGTAACAATTTTCTGAAAAATAAGATGAGTTAGAAATAAATGCATGCTTGCGTTGGAAATGACGTGGAAAGAGAAAACAATTTTCTGAAAAATGAGATTAGTCAGATATAAAATGCCTAATGCGTTGGAAATGACGAGGAAAGAGAATAATTATCTTACAAATAAATGTCTAATTGCGCTGGAAATGACGAGGAAAGAGAGAAAATTGCGCCGGAAATGACGTGGGAAGAGAGAATAGTTATCCTTAAAAATAAGTTTTAATGCTGGAAATGACGTGGAAATTAAGAGGGAATGGTTATCCTTAAAATCAGTTTCTAGTTAGAAATAAATGCCGACTCTTGCGTTGCGTATAGACTTCTTTATCCTCACTTCATGTTTAGCATTATAAAAGACGTTTAGAAGTTCGGAGAAACACCAATTCACATTCACCGCAAACAAGATCTGTGAGAAGTTCAGAGAAACACCAATTCACATTCACCGCAAACAAGATCTGTGAGAAGTTCATCAATGGCTTCAACTTTGGTTAGAAGGTATTATAACTCTTTAATTCTTGAGGCTTTTTCTTTTCTCAAGGGCATGTTATTTTGATAGTTGGGTTGGCAATTAACACACGCGTTCAGTAGACTATTACTAACAAAATTTATGAACCTAGGCTGCAAGGCAAGGTAGCACTAATCACCGGTGCTGCTACTGGAATCGGCGAGTCAACCGCCAGACTGTTCGCCAAACACGGAGCTAAAGTTCTGGTTGCAGACGTCAATGATAAATTGGGAGAGAAGGTATGCAAGGAATTGGGAGCATCATCAGCCTCTTTTGTCCATTGTGATGTAACTAAAGAATCCGATGTAGAAGCTGCAGTTAACACAGCAGTGGACAAGTTTGGGAAATTAGATATAATGTACAATAATGCTGGTATAGGAGGGATACCAAATCCAAGCATTCTTGAAATCGAAAAATCAGAGTTCGAAAAGATTATTAACGTAAACCTCGTAGGTGCATTTTTGGGTTCTAAACACGCTGCCCGTGTTATGATCCCAAATCGTAGTGGGAACATAATCACAACAGCAAGTACTTGTTCGAAAATAGGCGGTGGTTCTTCACACAATTACGTGAGTTCAAAACATGGGGTGGTAGGACTCACAAAGAATTTGGCTGTGGAGCTTGGAAAGTATGGCATTCGCGTAAACTGCGTGTCACCACACGTAGTTCCTACTCGTCAATCAAAGGAATTTTACAAGATGGACGATAAGGAATTCAGTAGTGTATATTCCGTCCTCAAAGGTGTTTATCTTCAGCCAGAGGATGTGGCCGAAGCTGTTCTGTTCTTGGCAAGTGATGAGTCGAAGTGCGTGCATGGACACAACCTTTTTGTTGATGGAGGAGTCACAATTGCGAATTCCAAGTTTTCCATGTTTGAGTAATCTCCTTAAATATTTCCTATATATTTTTTTTCTGTTAAGTTCTCATGTTTAAACTGCTCCTAACTTAAATAAATATTGACTTTACTAAATGGATCGATGATTTAAAAGTCGTTGAATGGAAATTATGGATCTAGTTCCTTCGATATCATTGGTATTTGGTTGGCGAATTTGGTGTATCAGCCTCTTTGTGGCTTCCAGCTTTTCATTACCATGTTGGTCTTATTCTCTCTATTAATTAGAAAAATTAAGCTTGCAATTTTCTATACAAGTAATATCATTATTATCTAGAAAAGTCAAAATAAAATCACGTGGTGGTGAGTGACGACTCAATTGTAAGAGTGAAGAATTACAAAATTAAGATAGAGCAAATGACGCATACATTGGAATATAATAAAGCAATTTGCATATTCAATCTTATTAAATACATTGGAGAAGTTCTCATTCAACCATTATGTCGTTGTTATGACTAATTGTTCTACATGACATGACATGGGCAAAGGAAACGTGGTTTTTCTTCTAAAGAGCGCGTATTTTCATTTTTTACATAATCGCGGAGAACTCGATATTTGCCGATATTTAATTCAATTTTCTGAATGTACAAGGCACCACTGTATTTTGAGTCAAAATCTTTCTTCTTTGCACTCAAGACCTTGGAGGTGATGCCTAGTTCATGAGCTTCACGGATTTAATTACTGGTCTGAAATTGTTATATGATAATACCACTTTTTGGGCACAATGAGTCGTGGTGTCATACAAAAACATAGAACATTTGATTGGAGCTGTTGTAAAAGACAGCTTGCCCTTTTCTTTATTATCCACGTTCCTAATAGATGTAAATGTCATGATGCACCGATATGGACACGTGTGTCCGACACGATATGTATCGAATACGTCGACATGCGATTTTTCAAAAAAGCACTAACACGACTCATCGCCAGTACGTTGATTAAATTCTTTAAAATTCTCCATTTATGTACAGTATAAATTTAATTTTATACATATTATTAATTTTTCTTGTTGAAATCTTTAAAATATGAGTACTTATTTGATATTTACTAATAATTTTGAGTTAAAAAATATAGTATCTTTAATAAAAAATAAAATTTTTACGGAGTATTCGAAGAGTGTCGGTATCAATACGTGTCCAATACGAACACGCTACCATAGTTAAGTGTCCGTCCTATGGAGATGTGTAGTGTCTTCGAGACAGAAAGATCGTTGTAATTTCTGATACTAGCGTTGATTCATTTTCCCCTTTTGTTCTTAAAATTTACATAGTTCAAATTAGTTTTTTACAAGTGTCTTGAAATTTGGATTTTAAAGTTTATAACTCAACTGAAAAAAAAAAAAAATTTGAAATTGTTGGCTGCACTAATGGACCTAGATGTGGTCATGTGGGATCAGCTGACCCAATAGAAATTTGTAGGGATGGCAACGAGGTGGGGACGGGGAACTAAGAAATTCTTGGCCCCGTCCCCGCCCCGTTACCCGTTTAAGACGGGGCGAGGTGAGTCATTTCCCCGTTTATTTCCCGTTAAAATTTTTATTTCTGATAATTTATTTTTATTGCCCATAGTCATTAAATTTAGACAAATAAGTTGCTATTTTCTATTAGAACAAATGAAAACTTTTCATTTAAAGTGTTGAATTCTAAAAAAAATAAAAAAATTAAAGGGGCGGGGCCCCCGTTACCCATCTCCCCAAGGTAAAATTCCTGGCCCCGTCCTATTACCCGATTAAGCGGGTTATCCCCACCCTATTACGGGCGGAGCCCCTCAAGTATTGGGTTTGTCGAATTTTTTTGCCATCTCTAGAAATTTGGCCTTGTACCTTTAGTTTTTAACCCTTTAGGTAAGGAAGAAGGTGAGATCTCTTGGGAGAATTTCCAAAATAGCCGGGTCAAATGACCCATTTGGGTTTTTTTTTATGTAAAAGTCAATTTTGATATTAATGAAATGATTTTTTATTGCAAACTAAGTAATCAAACTTTATAGTTATTTAAAAACTAGTTTAATTCCTAG